TTGTTGTTGTTGTTGTTGTTGTTGTTGTTGTTGTTGTTGTTGTTGTTGTTGTTGTTGTTGTTGTTGTTGTTGTTGTTGTTGTTGTTGTTGTTGTTGTTGCTGTTGTTGCTGTTGTTGTTGTTGTTGTTGTTGTTGTTGTTGTTGTTGTTGTTGTTGTTGTTGCTGCTGCTGCTGCTGCTGCTGCTGCTGCTGCTGCTACAGCAGCTACTGCTGTGGCTGTAGTTACAGCCCCTCTCGTTGTCAGGAAATGTTTGCTTGTGCTACTTCTCATCCAGTTGACTTCTTATTATGACTTTGTACGTTATAATTTTGTTGAGCTCCGGTTTTCCCCTTCATTCTAACTCAAGTGCAGTTTAGCGTGTATTGGCTTGCGATTTCCTTTCTTCTGTTTGCTTGGCATTTTATCGCTCCACAGGTACCCTCGGTCTCAGGTGCTCTCACATTTGTGCAATTGTTGATTTTGGTCCTGAATTGTCCTCCCTGTTGCTTTGCTACCGTCCTCCTCCTTCCTCCACCTTTTTTTTCTTAATTGGCCTGATTATGGCATTCGCTTCCATGTAATTGGGCTTGTAGCCCGTGTGTGCTTGCGAATTCAAATAAAAATATACATACATACATACATACATACATCTATCTTCTTCGATCAATCAATATCTGGCTTGCTTCATATTGGCAACTCATACAGTACTAGGCACGTGGCCTCTAATTTCCAAAGACTTTATTTATTTATTTATTTATTTCTGCACATCATGGCATGTCAAGACAGCCAGTTGAATTGAGGAGAGGGTTGTAATTCTCCGTGATGTCCAAATTTGAAATTAATATGGTACATTACTAGTAATACAGTTGTACGACTCCTTGTTCTTGACCTGCCCGGTACGCGAACCCGTCGAATTTTTTCTCATTTTTACTGCATGTAGTAATATTTATAAGGTGTGCGGGAATGGACTCGGATGGAGAGCCAAGGTTAAGGTGGCTGGGGCTAGGCCTCGACCAAATATGCTAAAAAAAAGCATAATATTGTGCTCGTCCCATATCAGGGAAAACGGCCATAATATGCCAAAGGCTTAGCAAGATATGCAAAAAGATATGCCAAAATATGCCAAAATATGCTCGACATAAGCAGAAAGTGTACTTTATTCATGCAATGTAAAAACGGTGGAGACGATGTGCAATAAAACGATGAAAATATGAAGAAATGGTGTAGGGAAAAATATGGATTCAAACAAGTTTTCGTACAACACTCATCAGGAATCGTCGTTGTACTAAAGAACACTGAAACAAAAATTGAACTATTATAGAAAATCTAAGTTAGAGAAATAACACTAAGAGCAACAACAGTGAAATTTACAAGTGTGAATTTTAACAATCAAAGCGAGAAATGAACAAAGGAGAAAGGAAGGAAAGACAACGTGATAACACATAACAGCAGTACATTACACCTAGAACATTAACGGCCAAGCTTGGCCGCACTAAACACGACACTTTACTTGAACAATTTCAACCCAATTATACTATCTTTCTGTACACACAAATTAGGCTTGTACAGACGCTGATAGATAGCTTCCAACACTTTTAACTGTAGTCCATAACCATGACGACCACGGCACAATACAGTGAACGAGGAGTCGGAATACGAATTGCAACAATCAGGACTAGCTAGCAGATGACTGTACACTGAAGACTCCTCGTTCACTGTATTGTGCCGAGAAATTATTTACGAGGTTTCTTTTACTTTTAGAATAATGGAGAGCTGTGGAGGAGACATACGCGAAGTGAATATCAAACAGACGAAGAAGAGTTTTCTAGTTGTGCCAGAGGCTCTGGCGATAGCATCTCTAGCGATACTGAAGTAGACACTGATGCATTGCTAAATTTGGACCAGGATGAAGGAGCGGCTATAAACAGAAAGAGCTCGTTCCAAAAGAACTGCCTTTGCCGAGTCCAGCTCAGGAGATTCGAAAAGAACTAGAATTTCTCATGGACTCAGTACTAAGTCGATTGCTCAGCAGCGCCTGTCTTACTTTCCTGATGAAGTACAGTTAGTTGTGGACGGTTGTAATGCCAGGCCTACAGTCAAGTGCTATCAGAAAGGAAGAGTATTGTGGCAAGACATACGTCTACACATCATCTCAAGGAGAAGATGAGGGCACAAGCAAAGGATGTAGAGTGGCAAAATAACTTCTGACCACGTGTTTTCAGGATTTCCGCAAATGGGAGGGCTCTCCATCTGAGATCAGATCTCAGGAGCTGGCCTCACGTCTGGTGTTTCAGATGAAGGCATTATTCACAGAGTGGACGTAGTGACAGCTTGTCTGCAGGCAGGAATACTATTGGCCAAGATTAACTTCATCCCAACAATGAATGACTACCTGCAATAATGGTTTCATCTCTCACTACATGGATAATTAGGGGAAAGATTTGATACACCGACTATTCTGCCACAACCCTGCATCAAAGTTGGAATGGAAAGCAATCAATGGAGAAGCGATCATGTCTTATAGTGCTAAGAAGTGGTGGAGCTCGTGAGAGATAAGGTGGCAACTTCAGATGCAGATCGACGATATGCATAATTTCCTGGAAGTTTGACAATGAGCAGACTTTCTTCCATTTTTGTCCCAAACCAAGAGCATTATATCCCTTGCTGAAGCATTAGAATGAGCACTATAAGGCAGTTTTTGGAGCATTATTGTTAGAATTATACGAACATTTTCGGAGCATTATCCGCTGGACCCTATCCGTCAGTGTCGTGCAATGTTATTGCAGTGCCCAGGGTTCTAGGAAAGACAGCAGATGAGAAACTGTATTCGTCCAATCACAAGCTGCTAACATTAATTTTGCATCGCTCGATAATGCACAGATACAGGTGCAGTCTACGAGCGTGTATTAAAGTTTTTTTTGTTTTGTTTTGCAGTGTACAGTGTTTTCTGGGAGTCCGTACATGTACTCCAAAAACAACAAATAACTCCAAAGCACGAAAAAGGCCAAAAACTAAACCAAGAACATGTGCAATAATAATGTTACTTAGAAAGACAGGACAAGTGAATAACTAGTCAGTCCATTGTTCATGATGGTCTCCGACGGTTACGTCGGCAAGCGAGCCTCCGCCACAGCCAAAGCAGCGTGGGCTCCGCAGGAGGGTGCAAATTTCAAACTATAATGTATACGCCTACAACCGCGAATGCACATGATACAGGATTTGAGAAGGCTGAAGGAATTCCTGCATCTAACAAATGCCATAACATGAGAGTAGTGCTCACCCCTCTTCTCAGCCAACAGATGAGCAATGCGTTTATTCAGTGCTGTTGATGCTGGACCCATTCCGCCACTGGCTGACATGACCTATTAAAGTACGTAACTGATCATGGATAAAGAAAAGAGTTTTGGACAAGCAACTAATTACTCAACTGGAATATTATGCACACTATGAGTGGTGCTTTCTTGCAGGTTTGCGGAGTGGAAGGTTCGATGGACTTCTCGTGTGCTCTGCATGGCAGTCGTGAGTCAGTCAAGTGAGAATTCAAGTCGGCAGGAATAGCGCAAGCTCCCACGTGGGAAGCAGCATACAATTCCCCAAGTATCGCCAAAGTCGCACCAACTTCTTCTTCACATTGTTGTCCCCGGCGCGGGCTTGCGAATTAGATGGTTTAGAGGCCATAACGTTGTGAATGGCCAATGGTCCTCAGCGCTTGTTCAGCACCTCCATAAGCGACACTGACTCACGCTGCTATAATGGTATTCACGAGGTGTTTGTCGCGCTGGAAACGGAGCATCTCTGCAAGTTTGTATCCTTGGTGATGTTTGTGCCTGGAGAGCACTATATAAGTGGTGCTCTTCAAGCGCAATCTTCCTCAGCCCACTCAAGCTCAACTGATGAGGGCCTAGGGGGGAATTCCCCAAAACACTGTGTATTACTGTAAAACCGGAAGTCTAACGACCAAAAGGTTTTTAAATTTTTAAACTTTTCTGTCGTACAAAACGTTAAAACGTTAAAACGTTTTGTAATTTTGGCATGATAGCGTGCAGAAAGTAAGTTTAACGATGGCTCTCTGGCCACCCATCTGTATGAGCATCTTTGCACAGACATCTAGCGATAACGGATTTTTCAAATAACGAAAAATAATTGTACGTTAAAACGTTAGACTTTGTGACTCGTTAGACTTTTCGGTTTTACAGTAAGGTCAAGTGAGAATTCAAGTCGGCAGGAATAGCGCAAGATGCCACGTAGGGAGCAACACACAATTCCCCAAGTATCGCCAAAGTCACACCAACTTCTTCTTCACATTGTTGTCCCCGGCTCGGGCTTGCGAATTAGATGGTTTGGAGGCCATGACGTTGTGAATGGCCAACGGTCCACTCCGACTCCTCAGCGCTTGTTCAGCACCTCCATAAGCGACATTGACTCACGCTGCTATAATGGTATTCACGAGGTGTTTGTCGCGCTGGAAACGGAGCGTCTCTGTAAGTTTGTATCCCTGGTGATGTTTTTCCCTGGAGAGCACTATAATATTATTATAAGTGCTGCTCCTCAAGCGCAATCTTCTTTAGCCTACTCAAGCTCATCTGATGAGGGGTGAAATCCCCGACACACTGTGTATTGAGCAGGTTGTGGTGCTTTCTTGCAGGTTTGCCGAGTGGAAGGTTCGATGTACTTCTCTTGTGCTCGGGATCATCGGGTAGTCGTGAGTCAGTCAAGTGAGAATTCAAGTCGGCAGGAATAGCGCAAGCTCCCACGTGGGGAGCAACATACAATTCCCCAAGTATCGCCAAAGTCGCACCAACCTCTTCTTAACTGTGAACACAGTGTAGTGTACTAGTACTATGAATACTGACCGCCCTCACGTGTATGGTCGCAGCTCGACAGCACAGCCCATACAGCACAATCCTTACACTGTTGTCACCTCGCCACCTTTTCAAGTAACACCAGAAGGCACTAATTTGCTCACAGACAGACTATGAAAGAGCATTGACAGAATATACGAGACACGATTTGAGGGTGTGTGTGGGGGGGGGGGAGATGGCTAGTGACCTGGAAATTGGTGCGAGCAGAGATGAGCAAACAACGAGCATGTGCAAGATACCATGCCTATTGCCAAATCAGCTCCTGCATTTGTCCATTGGCCTGGAAGTGAAACATTCGGCCATTCGCGCCATACGTTAGATGACCGGGTAGGTCGTCAGCAATTGGCAAACGGAGCCATTGGTTGTCTCTAGGTGAAAAAAGATACATTCTCATCTGTGCTGCTGGGTTGAATTCTTTAACAATGCATACTAGGCAATCATTGATCTTTCGCAGCACACCACCTATGATGGGACAGTTGGGAAGTATATTAGCTTGCCAGTTACTATCGGCTATGGGTGAAGAGAGATCCTTTGAGTACACAGGCCACGAGCTGTAATCCCGTTCATATTTTTGGCCGATCACGTGCAAATAGCCGCGATCAGCCGTACCAGTGCGGGTCAATGTGCCGACGCTCTGAGGAAGGTTTGGCCAATCTATCCACCGTGGTTTTCCTCTGGTGGTGGCGTCAATCAAGTCGCAGGAAATTATATCAGGCTGCGCACGAGAGGGAGACTCCACATCAGTGAAGCCTCCGACTATTATGAGAAGCCCGTCGGTTATTACAATCCCAAATCGTCGGCGATACGCTGGGAGCTGCACAAGACGACACCAGCCCTCAGGTTGTTCAATGTACACGATAGATGGTTGTGAAGGGAACTGCACTATCAGGAACAGGAAGGACATGTGGGATTGGACCAGAAGGTGTGGGGGTTCCTCGCGCTTATTGCGCTGTCCGCTTGTAGGCGGATGCTCAAGAGCATTCTGCTCTATTGTCGGCGGATCTTTGGCCAACCAGTCCACCTCCCGATTTCCGAGAGGTCCAGTCCAGATACTGCACTTGCCTGAACACAGTTCCTGCAGGGTTACGTAGAGATGTCCATCAACATATGCCATCGACTCAAGATAATGGCCCTTACCGGCCATTGGAAGCTCTCCAACCCGTTTCCACTGTACCGCAACAGATCAGAACAAGTGGGCAATGTACTTAGTTTTAAAAGATAGTGAAATAGGAAACAATACAGGCATCAGACTGAAGAATAGAACAACATTCTGAGGAGCCTGAAGTAGGTTTCGTTCTTCCATCTGCTTGTAGAAATGCGTGTACACGTTTGCGGTGAACAGCAATGACCCACTTATTACACTGAATGAACCCTCATCACCACTGCCCAATGTGGTGGGTGCGTTGCCTACAATCATTAGATCCCATTTTCTCTCAGGTTGCTTTCATCATACGTACAGTCATGTAGTCCGCGTGCACATGTGGTTTACTACGCTCGAAACTGACAAGACATACTTTTCTTTCGTTGACTTGGCCGTGGTTGGCTATCCCCTCTCTCTCTCTCATTCAATATTGGCATTGCTTGCCACGAGATGATGATGCAATAAACATACCCACAAGGGGAAACACAAGGAACAAGTGCTTTCTAGCCAAAGTACTTGCTGGCGCTGCAATCATGAAGTGTTCAAAGTTTTCGTCAACTGCAAAAAGTAGTTTTGACTGTACAGTGAACCTGTCTAAGACGACCACCGCTCAAGGGACCTTCAAAACGTGGTCTTTGTTACCAGGTGGTCTCCTTATCCAGGGTCATTTGACTGGAAAGAGCATCCCTTGATTCTGGTTCCAGTGGTCTTGTAGGACAGGTGGTCGCCTTATCCGAGTGGTCGCCTTGACAGGTTTTACTGTACATGTATGTGCATTTGTCAGGTTCCGGAGGGCAGAGGCCGGTAGAGGCCGTGCCCTAAAGTGAACATTTTTTTTTCGACCCTTGATTATCCAACTACGAATAACAATACTTGAAATCCTCAAGCGTACAACTGCTCTGCCGCGATACTTATAGATGTACAATGTGGATCTACTTCGGTGTTTTTATATGCATTAGCTGCCCAGTACACGAGGAATTTCTAGCAGTGGAGTGGGAGGGGGGGGGGGGGATCTTGGGCATTGACTACGTTGTGGCCACAATGGATCTGGTCTGGCCCAAATTTCAGGACATGTCCTCATTGCTTACAGGCCTTTGAATATACCCGAAGTAATGGGGAATTGGACAGGTGGAATTAATCGATTAAGGGAGGGACACACGAAGTCGTCAGACGAAACTGCAGACGACAGCTTAACATAACAAGATAACATTTCAGATTTGAGCAAAAACGGAATGATTCGGCCATGTCGGACCCGGATAATAATTCGGTCGTAACGGCCTTGTGCTCCACAAAACACACAAGCACTACATGTGACAGTGAACAAGTCCCCGTTTCCAGAATAACCCAATGACCATCTCCATCTGAATGTGCCATGCAGAGCGTTAGAGAGCTTACATTGGCTTTGGGGTTTGGAAGAGATGGCGGCGGTGGACCAATAATAAGGGAATAGCGAGCCTCTTCACCAACTGTCCCCCTCAAACTTGCTTTCTCGTATAGAGCTTCTGCGATGGAACTTCCTTGTGGCCTTCCAACTGATTTCGGTGGTAGCAAACTCCGTGCCGCAAATTCAACAATGCCGCTTTGATTTTGCTTCCCGACGTGGAATTTTGCCCACAGTGCATCACGTTGCGCTCGCATTGCTTCGCTTTCCACCCTAGCTGCGTCACATTGCACCCGCAGGGCATCACGTTCCGCCCGCATTGCATCCAGTTCCGCCCGCAATGCGAGTTCCGCCGGCGTTGCGTCGCGTGTTGCGTCGCGCTGTCTCGCCTGGGCCCGGTGCTCAGCTTGAAGGGACTGGTGGCCATGGAGTGCGGGCGGCTGCTCTGCCGGCTCTTTCTGCGTCGAAATCCGACCTTGGTGCTCGGCTTCCTTGGCAAACGAGGCAAACTGGAACAAAGAACGGGCGGCATCAACGTCACCGGCAGTAAGCAACATAGTTATTGACTTTTCCAGGTCAAGCACCCGCTCGCCAGAATCGACTTCAAGCCCTTCTGCCGGGCTGGTTTGGCTTGACCAGTTCGTACTCGCGTCAGAAACGTACCCGCTGCTGTTCGGGTAAGGCTCTTCCTGAGCATCCATTGTGGAGCCAACTAATACTTCCGTGAAACAACTACAACAACAACTGCATTGGCATACGCCTGATATGGCCGGTTGGAGCTGCACTGTTGCAGCAGGACTGGCAGGACAAGACTGTCACATAAAGTTAGTTCATGTACACCTCGAACACCCGGTCGCCTGAACCAACTCTCTGCCAGAGCTCAGCGCTATCACCACTCATCCAGATATTATACACTTCTCATGGCAAGAAAGCAGTGACATCGGCCAGTAAAACTCCAGGCAAGCACCAGCCTCCATCATGTCCATGCGGCATGCAACTCGACTCAGTGACTGTTAGTGTTATCCATCGCGCGCTCCCTTCCTCTCTCCAGTTCGCACGCCTCGCACCGGCCGGCCCGCCGCGTTCCAGCTACCCCTGTCAATGTCATGGGGATAAGCTGCCTTGACGACGCCTAGCACGTTATGTTGCCATGAAGCTGTGGAACAAACATTGTGCAGGTTTCGGCGTAGAGTGCTGGCAGTAAGGTAGTGCTTGGCGGATAATGCGGCAGGTTCTGCTCGAAAAGCTGGAAAACTGGCAGAACATCACATGACGTGTGGCAGGCATGTGCTAGAATTCTACTCCATGCCTTTATCCACATTCATGTACAGTAAAACCTGGTTTAAGCGACCACCCCACACGGTGCAAGCAAAAGCGGTTGTTAAAGCCAGGTGGTCTTTAGAACCAGGTCCAACAGAGTCGGTGTAGAACTGTCGGTGCATGGAAAAACGGTCGTGATGAGCAGGTGGTCGCTAAACCCAGAGGTCGCTTACATCAGATATTACTGTACATGTACCGAACGTGCATGAAACATACCAGAAAAGCACCAAATTCTGCCGATTTTTCTGCCAGCAGTATCCGCCATGGGCTATAAAGAGCTCATTGACTTCCGTCACAGGGTTTGTGTGTGGAGTTTGCCGCACGGCCGAGCTAGCAACTCTTCATCACTCATCAAAACCCATACTTTGAAGATTGAACCCTGCTGTGACTAGACCTTGGCGGGTAATGCCGGCAGGCGAATGGTCAGAACTTTGGTGAACCGGTGGTCTTTTTACATTGTTATAATTATACATGTACATGTAGCATGGCATCTAGACACCCTAATTGCTCAATTTTCTATACAGGCTTATACTGTAGACCCTGAACGTGCAACGTCACAGCCATCCCGTCTTCATAACGGTACTGGCTTTTGTATCTACATGTACATGATTGTATTTGGATCCCTTTTCTGTTCTCCATGGATACACACACACACACACACACACACACACACACACACACGCACGCACATACACGCCATGTACCATGTATACGCCCGTTGCTAATGCACTGGTTGTGCACCCACAGATTTTCTCTCATAGCAACGATAGCGAGCAAGATCTGAACGAGACAGATCAAGACTTGCGCCAGATAACTGTCTAATCCACACAACTGGCGAAGCCATGTGAATCGACCACCAATGCACACCTGGTCTACACCACACGGAGTACATCGGCATAAAACGGCCAAGACAGTTACCTATGCACACCCTACACTTGCAGGGGTAACCAGTAGAGCCAGCCGTTAGTACCGTACCCAAGCCAGGGGCAGCTCCACCTGAGCAACTCGGATTTTTTTAGTATAGACAGTACGCTGCCTTGAAGTGAATTTGGAGTTACTTTACTAACCAGCCTCGGCTACTGAGTACTGGGAACCCAGGGCCAACATACATACCAACAACCTCAGCCATGAAAGATATTATAGTAACGACACACTGGATTGTGGAGCCGAAACTAGTCCAACTTCCAAATGCTTTGGCGAGAAGGTAGCCTTCCAACAGGTTGGACGCACGCACGCACACACATAGTAGTAGTAGTAGTAGTAACAGTTAGTATCTATTATTTTAACAGGGGAACCCCCTACAGACGGTGTAGTCTTATTACAGGGAACCCTAAGAATGATTGACACAATTGAACACATAACACATACTTCGAGTAGAAGACAAGAGACCACCCGTATCCCCACTCCGAGTCTCGGAATTGTTTGTTTCAACTCAGAGTTTCACGGAGCTTCAGTCAGCATAGTCAGAGTCGGCAGCTCCATGAGAGCAAGAGTGAATGAAATCCAGAGTCCGCAGCTCCATGAGAGCAAGAGTAAAATGTACATGAAACCGAGAGTGTGCAGCTTAAGCTAGGTTTTTTCTACCATGGGTGTCTGTCAAGACAGTAGATCTACATGCTCTGATGTCGTCACACCAGGACAAAATAATGTACACGTCTGTGGTGTACAATCAGGCATGGGGGTGGCCTGACACAAGTGAAACTTCCAAGCTGGCTGTGTTGCTCAACACAATTGTAAAGCAGGCGGCAACACGAACGTGTGGCTCTGAGTTCACTTTTCCTTTTACCTACGACGTGGTATTCAAGTTTGTATAGGGCTCTATTATCACGCCAGTCAAGAATGGGTGAAATTAAACTTGCTCTCATCGATGGCTCCTGCACGGAAAATGTGAAAACTAAAGGTCTGAGTGAGCGATGCTCGTGATTAGAGCGAGGCACGTGATTAGAGCGAGTCACGTGATTAGAGCGAGTCACGTGATTACTGATTAGTGACTGTATTTATACCTTATCATTCGCCACACCTAAAACAGACCAAAGCCAGGGCAAAGGCAAAGAAAGATGATGACTTGCAAAATGAAATAGTCCCCAGGGCAATGCGAGGTAAGAAGTCCAGGTTATCTAATCTTGTTCTCAAACCTTTATTTCCTAATTGCCATCGTCATCATAAACATTGGGCATGATTGCGCGTTTGACTTGCGATGTAAAATCAAATTTATTATTATTATTATTTTGCTTGTTCGCGTTGGCATCAACCTGCATAAAGCAGGTATATAGCCTTCGCTTAAGCTGCCATAAAAAAGAAAGCTCATCCTAAGCGAGAGGGCTAGAGGAAAAGATAACGATAACGAGATACAGAATACAAAGAAATACAATGAGTTAAACATACATGTACGTATACAGTTCAAAACAAAACAGAGCAGAGCCGAAGTTACTTCAAAATACTAATCGGAGTGACGAATGCGTTGGTTCAGATTGATCCGTCAATCGACAAAGGGACTAATCCGTTAATATTGCAAAGTAGAAACCGATTGCAGTTGCAAATCTCCAGGCCAGGGCCAGCATATTGCCGATTCTGGATAGGTCTCTGCAGCATTTGATGTGGTAATTATTATCATAATTAGTGATACAATTGTTAGAGTATCTAGAGTATCTAGTATCTAGAGTATCTAGTGTAATTGTATCCGATATTATTGTTAGAGTATCTAGTGTAATTGTATAACTTCAGCCACTACACACAGCACACATTAGTTCCTTCCACTTTCGACGATCCTGGGCAAGCTGCCTCAGTGCAACTAGATCCTCGTGTGATGTGAGGGAGTTTGTGGATCTGGAATTTTTCAGGTCGTTGTTGATAGATCGCGGGAGGGTTGTTCTCGGGCGGCCTCGGAACCCTGAGCTTCCTGGTTGAAAGTATGCTGACATAGCCTGCTGGACCGGGGATGAGGTGTCTAGTCGAAGCATGTGGCCAAGCATTCTCCACCTAGCAGACTGGATGATTCTGCTGAGTGGCTTGGAGCCAGTGCGCTTGTACAGTGCTTCATTGCGTATTATACGGGGATATTTGACCCCTATGACTGCTCGTAACTGCTGGCGGTGGAACGAGTCAAGTTTCTTTTCTTGAGTCTCTGTCAGGCTCCATGTTCCGCAGTTATAAAGAAGTATTGGAGAATAAAGCTGCTGTATAACCTAATCCGAAGGGGTTCACGGGCATGGTTACCTCTTAGCCATATCACCCACAGCTGATGTAAGGCACATGTTGCTAGATGTTTTCTCCGACATATATCTTCCTCCACTCCAAGCATCGATCCCAGTTTGACCGTGTTCCGCCATCGCTCGTCTACTCTGTCCTTTTCTCTTTTAATTGTATTATATTCGGTTTTGGCTTCATTCATTTTTAAATTGTATTCCGCTAACGAGGATGATAGTATGGGTTGATTGTCGTGCAAATATTGTAGGCTGGTGCTGATGAAGTCTACGTCATCCGCATACGCTGTTTCATTGGGCAATTGAAGCTGAATATCCAATGCTGGTCGCGGTGAGAGTCGCTCTCGAATCCACCTCAATGCAGCCTCGAGGTAGACAGTAAACAGGACTGGCGATAGAGAATCACCTTGTGGGGTTCCATTATGTGTGACTAATGGTTGGCTGAGAATCAAAACAAATGCAAAATTATTTAATACAAGAATTGCTGTTGAGCCGCGCAGGAAGGTCTTCTATGCATTCATTTTCTGTTTGAACTCGGATGGTGAACCAGCTGTATTCATGGCTAAGAGGATAGACACCGATTTTAAACGTATTATGAGATACGACCGTTGCTATGCCGGGATGCTGCAGTACATGATTGTAGTATCTAACTCGGAGTGGCCGAATGTCTCAGTACTCCTTGTCAGTGTTGTGCCATTTTGTCGCACTCGCTGACTGTATAAGATCTGGTTACGTTGGTGGACAATTAGTCATAACTCGTAACATTTTGTCCTTCTTCTTTTTACATAACTGTACGCAATGATTGTAACCGGTACTTTTCTGCTGTATTTTTTGATGCATGTAAAGATGTACGAGGCAGGAGAAGAGGAACAGAAAACAGCGCAATGACTGTTCTTCTGTCCTGGCCTCGTACATGTATTGAATACACCAGAAAAGGTACCGAATTCTGCAGATTCATTGTTATGTCCGTCAAGGACTAGCGGGAATGCTGTTGTGTTTAAAACCGTTTTCTCGATCCATCTGCCAGCACAGTGACTACTACAGATGCCACAATAGAACACTAAGTCTTGCATCCTAAGTTTCCATGCAACGTGCGACTGACTTTGGTCACGAATGTTTTACAGTGTGCCTGTACAAGTAGTCCAAGCCACTACATGCCACTACATTCCACTACATGCCACTACATTCCACTACATGCCACTACATGCCACTACATGCCACTACATCCCACTACATGCCACTACATGCCACTACATGCCACTACATGCCACTACATGCCACTACATGCCACTACATGCCACTACATGCCACTACATGCCACTACATGCCACTACATGCCACTACATGCCACTACATGCCACTACATGCCACTACATGCCACTACATGCCACTACATGCCACTACATGCCACTACATGCCACTACATCCCACTACATGCCACTACATGCCACTACATGCCACTACATGCCACTACATGC